AGAGAGTAATAGCTAGTCAGCCGTATATAGTACATATATATATACCATTGTTCCTTTTTCATGTGTTATGACATGAAATGAAGAAGGGAAGATGGTATTCTCTTTGGCAAAGAGGGCCAAGCTAATTACTAGCTTGAATCGAGATTTATGGCAAGAGGTTGTGAATCTCTCGACTAAGTAGTTGATTTGGAGGAGGCATGCAAATTGAATGTAATGTAAATGTGTGCATAAATAGGACAAATTCGATGTCGGCATCGTTCTAACATTTGGTTTACAGACTATCCCTAACGATTACTAACCAGAGCGTATTAATACTATCAACAATTCTAGTTATTGAAAATTACAGGATGATAACTAAATTCTACTAACTACTTAGATATCTTGTACATGTCGGAGGAGGGTGAAGAGCGATGTTAGGGTTTCTTGTCATATATGTAACTCATATACCTAGAGTCTTAAACATTATATGGGGTGTGATATATAATTTAACAAAATTATGAATTATCAATAAGCCAACTCATAAAACATATATTGATTCGCTAATAAGCCGGTTATCAAGTTGGCTTACAAACCACAATATTGAGATCTCTCATGAGCTCAAAACAAGCCAGCTTGTGAGTTGAGTTCAACAGGCCGTCAAAGCGAGTTGATTTGCGAGCCCGCAAGCTGAGCAAGACTTATCTCAATCTCGACTCGTTAGAAAAAGAGGTGTGTTTCGAGCAAGATCTTCTTGAACCAAATGTCGAACCACTTTTGAACAACTGAACTCGCAACCCCTATCGTTGAGTGTCCAAATTTTCAACCACATGATTTATTCATTTATGTCAAATAAGTATCCTAAACAGTAAACACTGTCCACAAAGAGGATCAAAATGGGCTCAATTAGTTCCCTAAAAAAAAAAAAGGGCTCAATTAGTACAAAACAATTTTGTTTGTATTTCAGCAATACCAAACCTTTCCCGGATTTAGTTCCATACATAATTGGCAACTTGGGTACCAAAATTTCACCTTTGATCAATCTCTCATTGATGGGGAAACACTAAATCCATCTACCAGAGTGTTGAAAATAATCGATGGTTTGTGAGCAATGATAATCTGATAGAGTAGCTAATTGTATTGCTCATTCATTCCTCATGGGATGACACCCAAGTGTGGACTACCTCCTCTCCTAGTAGAGTTGGATTGTGGCCGTAGTGCCCATCATCGGTCGATCGAAATCAATGTTGTCAGAACCGAACAACATGACTCGTTAATGCGAACGACTCGCATTTTAGTGGTCCAATCGTCATTAGACCGTTTAAAAATCGTTAGAGAACCAGTACCTAATAAACGTTATCAGTATAAATATAGGACATTTCTTAATCAGAGCTCATCTCTTTTCTTCGAAATTGTGAAATGGAAATAAGGATTCAGTTTGAGAGCCCGACGTTTTTGGTTTATTTCAATTTTCAATTTTCTGCAATTTTTTTAATTAAATTTAACGGCTGAATGACAAAAACCGGACGATCGGCTCGAGTAGTTAACCACCTCGGTCGCTTGCCAACCGCTATATAAAATCGGAGCGGCTTTTAGACTGTTCCGAGCCGATTTTTTTGACCGGGTGGCGATTTTACCGGTCAGACCGAGCAGCTCGGCTCGACTTTAATAACACTGATCGAAATAAAAAGAGTTATCATCCTCTTACCGTTAAACAAAACCTAAAGTTTTTGCTATTGTTTCGTTGCGAATCATCTTTTGTGATGGAAAGATCAACATTTTATTGATTTTTTTTTTACAATTTTGAGAGTGAAATTTGTTACCGAAAATAAAAGGGTAAGAAAAGTTGTAAATATGCTATGACTGAATAGTATCACAAGAAATTGATAATTACAGTCCATGAGATATTGTTGCCATAGCTAATATCGAGCGAAAATGGCTAGAAATCTAAAACTCACTAAGACTTAATTAAAAAAAATATAATAGAAGGACGAAAGATTTGCTACCTTTTATTCTAAATCATCATCCTCGCGAATCCAACTTTTGACATGTTATGCTATCTCCTAAACCGATAATTTCATTATGTATCATCCATTAGTAGTCCACACGATCCTAATTAGGAGGACAGTCAATCTAACTGTAATATTACACAACAATCCAAAGTGCAGCTGATAGATCTTTTTATTAGATTTTGCGAATCTAGTTTCTAAAACAAGTTAATGAATATCTATACAAGTTCAACCATGATGAACAATTTCTCAAGTTTCCTTTCGCTATATATTCTCCGTCCATCGAAGTTATAGACTCACCCAAGAAAACCTCCAAAGTTCTCCATCACTTGTTTTCCCAACAATGGAGATCACAAAGGCCACCACCACCACCAACTCTTCTTCATTGCAGCATAGGATTGCCACCATGAGGCAATCTTTCTTTGATGAGGTCAATACTCCTTCTTTTTCCTTAAATTCCTTGTCTAGTTCATTAATGTTCATATATTGGTTTGCACATATTTTCCCCTCATGCTCACGACTTATAGTGACGACATTTTGGTCGCCTTTGCCTCATGTATGAATGCAGGGACTTCTGGACAGCTTTTTTGTGCAAATGGAGGACCTAAAAGGGTTTGCTCCTCCTGACTTTGTCGAGGAAATGGTGACCACTTTCATCACTCACTCCGAACCCAAAATTGCTGACATCGAGGAGGCAATGGATGCTGTTATTCAAAATGGGTAATCACTAACAAGCTAGTAGTATGACTTTTAATCCTAAAATTCGTCTCGTTCAAATCGAATTTCATGTCAATTTTACGATGGTGTAGTCCGATGATAAAGTGATGATGAGTGGATTCGACCGTAAATGGTTGAATCCACTTTATATGCTGATCTATCGCCTAATGTTTTATGAATCTGGGTGTTAATTGCAGAGAGGAGTCTGTTGATATGAACTCAGTGGATGTAAAGATTATCAAGTTGAGGTCAGGAGGGGCAACGTAAGTGATCAATTTTAATTTTTTTCTATTAAATTAATATGTTGTTTAATTTGATCACCTAAATTTTACGGTTAGAAACTTAGCATATCATCCCCTAAATTCTTCGTTTAGCATTAAGGCTTCATGTTCGGTTTGGTAATCAAACCGTTACGCAAGAAAAATCATAATCCAAAACAGTTAGTCCCAAAAACCAAAACCAATAAGAGGTTATCCGTTTTGGTTCGACCTTAAAAAGACAAAAAAAATGGCTACTATACGATTTTTATTTTTCAATTTCTTCTCGATTTTAGGGTTTAAACCCAAATCAAAACATGTAAATTATGAAACGGTTTGACACCGAAAAACAGAAACCGTTAACCTTCTTATCGGTTTGGTTTCGATGTAAACCGAAAGAACGAAAGAGAATGGACATCCCTAATTACCATGCATTGTTTTTCAGTATTGGTGCAGCAAAGATCAGAGCAAAGGCTGGTGATGTCTGGAACTCGTGGAAAGACAGGGACTGGCTCAGGTGATTATGACAAAAAACCAAACAACTTACCTATCTTTACTCTTTAGTTGACATTTTGCCTTCGGAAAAGTGCACTTATGCATGCATAGTTTTACCTTCTTACAATTTGACCCCCAAATTCTTTAAACAGAGCAAAGGCAGCCTTGGAGGAGGTGAAGACCGAGATCCATGACCTCAAGACCAAATTGGAACCCTACTTCCAGCTGCTGCGAGAAGCTGAGGCTGCTGAGCAGGCAGAGGCAGAGGCGAGCTCGAGGGCTCAGCCGCCATCTCCCAACAACACATCATCAGCCAACAACTAATCCAGAAGTTCGGATTAGTTGCTAATTAGGATAAGATCGATGTTGGTGGTTCAACCAGAAGTAGTGTTGTTGTTTTTGGGTTCAATGGAGTTTAGTTCAGCAGTTAATCAGTTTGTCAGAGTCTTGTCAGGTTGTTAACTGTAGTTTGTTTGTTGCTAAAACTTTAAAACGGTCATGCATTCACCTATTAATACAGTTTATTTACTAGAATTCTTTCTTGAAGATTATCGCATTCCGGTTGGGTCATCGGTATTCTCGGTTTTGACCGATTTTGATTGACACTTCATACATGGGTCTTTCATATGGTTTGACATACATGCCGATTGAACATGAATGTATTGGTCGGCATGCCACTGATTTGACAATCATCATTTTTAATGATGAGGGAAACTAATAATAAACTTATTGTTAGTGGTGATTTATTACTACTCATTCGTAATGATATGCACATCCATTGGTGGGGATTGAGGGGTTCGTTAGTAGTGATTGATAAGTTGTTCCGTACATACTTTTTATGTCACGAGTAGCTATTTTTGGTGATTGCATTGGTAAAGATTCATCATGCTAATAAGATTCGTATCTATCGACTACATCATTATCAATGATATGCTCGGTAACTTTGAAAATCATTTCTTTCGCCCGGTTCTCTCCATTTGCTAGTTTTTTTTCTGAAATTTCACATATTTTTCATCGTTAGCCATTTGTCATAAAAAAATTACAAAAATTAAAGGGCTAATACCACTACAACACCCAAACTATCGAGAAAATGCCACTTATGTCCTATTGTATCAAATATTCCATTCATGTCATGAACTATATTTTGTGTCATTTGTATCCTGTCAATTTTGTTGACCGTTAAAGATAACAGTTGACCAAACGGCAATCAACTTAACATTGACTTTTGCTTACGTGGCAATGCCAACTCATTGACACCTCACATTTTTAATTTAAATTAAATAAAACTTTGAAAATAAAAAATTGAAAAAACTTTAAATTCAAGAATATTACTAAACAATATTCGATAGTTTATTGGATATGGTTTCTGTTACATGTCGAGTATGATCAAACGTCTGCGAGTCTAATAAATCGGTTCGGAGTGCCTAGCTGGACTTTCATTTCATGTATCTTCTGTTAATTCAATGGGTTGAAATGGATAGAATTTTTAATGATAATGATGAAAGGATCATTTTGTTACATATTTTCAAAGTCAAACAAAACGACCGAAGTTAAACTATGACCAGTTTGGATAATTACCCGCCATTTTCGCGGTCCGCCCACCTTCCGTAGTTATATCTACTAATAAATCCATCGCCATCTTGATTCTTGCCCCTTGGGGCAAGAGAAATGATGGCGATGAAGATAGTGATCGATTCAGAACCGGGCAAGAACCCATATCTCGCCTTCCTCTGATCCCGCCTGCTCAAAGTTCGACTCTTTTCCTCTGCTTCCAGAGCTCCACAGAACCCGACGACATTCATGGCGGCGACCACAAGCTCCGACGAGACGAATCCCCTCTTAGATGGCCGCCGACGGGAAACCGATCAGAGGAGCGGATGGTGGCCGACTAGCATCAACGATGTGCTGGACATTGAAGAAGCCAAGACCCAGATCTTGTTTTCGCTGCCCATGATCCTCACCAACGTTTTCTTCTACCTCATCCCTCTAGTCTCCGTCATGTTCGCCGGCCATCTCGGCGAGCTCCACCTCGCCGGCGCCACCCTTGCCAACTCCTGGGCCACCGTCACCGGTTTCGCTTTCATGGTACAGAACGAATTCTCTCCTTTTCCCCCACCAATTTTGCCAAATCGGGTAGGGTTTTGTCTTTTGAAGCTTGCTCTGTTTTTTCCCCGATTGTAGACAGGGCTTAGTGGAGCTTTGGAAACACTCTGCGGTCAAGATTTTGGAGCGAAGCTGTACAGAAAGCTGGGGATCCATCTCCAAGCTTCCTGCATCATATCATTCCTCTTCTCTGTCGCAATTTCTGTGATCTGGTTCTACACGGAGCCGATTTTGATCCTTTTAGGGCAAGACCCCCAAATTTCATCCATGGCTGCTCTGTACATAAAGTACCTCATCCCAGGAGTGTTTGCATATGGGTTTCTGCAGAACATTCTAAGGTTCCTTCAGACGCAGTCTGTTGTTATGCCTCTTGTCCTGTTCTCGATGTTGCCTGCCTGCATTCATATAGGGCTTGCTTATGCTCTGGTTTACTTAACTCCGCTTGGTTTCATTGGGGCTCCATTGGCAGCTGCAATTTCCTTGTGGGTTAGTTTCGTTGCCTTGGCTTTGTATGTAGGGTTTGGGAAGAGATTTGAGCAGACTTGGAGTGGGTGTTCGTCGGAATCGTTCGATTATGTTGTGGTAGCACTCAAACTGGCTCTTCCTTCTGCTGCAATGGTATGGTAAGTTCAGGGTTGTAGAATGTCAGCAAGCTATCTTCTGCATATAGGCAAGAAATGTTTGATTCCATGGTGGTTTTTTTCTTCTTCTTCTGCAGCTTGGAGTATTGGGCTTTTGAGATTCTGATTTTCTTAGCCGGGGTGATGCCGGATTCTGAAATATCAACATCTTTGCTTGCTATGTGGTAATGGTTGCTTCCGTTTCTCTTGAATCTCTGATAATGTCCAACTCATCATCTTCAGAAGTTTGAATGTTTGGTGTTTGTCTGTTCAGCGTAAACACAGAAACCATTGCCTATATGCTGACATACGGTCTTAGTGCAGCAGCAAGGTTAGCAGCATTTCTGTCACCATGCTCTATTTACTATCACGATTGTCGTTGTTCCTTCTTCGTCGTTCTAGGAGTCGATACATGTGTTTATTATCTCACTGTGGGTGGCAGCACGAGGGTGTCTAATGAGTTGGGGGCTGGTAACACGAGTCGCGCTAAGAATGCCATGGCAATGACTCTCAAGCTCTCCGTGCTGCTGGCCCTGGTGGTCGTTTTGGCTCTAGGGCTTGGCCAAAACATCTGGGCTGGCTTCTTCAGCGACAGCAGTGAGATAGCTGTGAGGTTTTCATCCATGGTGCCATTGCTTGCCATCTCCATAACGCTTGATTCAGTGCAAGGCGTTTTATCAGGAGTGGCTAGAGGATGCGGATGGCAGAATATGGCGGTGGTTGCTAACTTAGCGACGTTCTACTTCATCGGCATGCCTATTGCCTGTGTTCTTGGGTTCAAGTTGAAGTTATATGTGAAGGTAAAACAATTATGAGCTCAACACTAGAAACTTTATACTGCTATATGATCTGGTTCTGAACTTTTTGTTTTTGTTACAGGGATTGTGGATAGGCTTGATCTGCGGTCTAACCTGCCAAGCTAGCACACTTATGTTCATTACACTGCGAATGAAATGGACTAGGAGCGATTTTTCAACCCCCAGAGACCATGAAAATCAGATTGCAGCAGCTTAGTTATGTAGCTGCAGACTTCCGATGTCAAAACAAAAGCTACCTACTATATAGATAGATACATGCTCTCACGTTGATTCATTGTTATCAGCCGTTTCCTATGAACACACATACGCACACCTAAATATCCAAATAAATGTCTACTAGACCTAGTTTTGGAGGCTGGCGAGGTTAAAGAAAGCACCTTTCTTGTTCTTTAACTGAGCATAGGTTCCGCGCTCCACCACTTTCCCATCAGCAACAAAGGCAATCGAATCCAGGTTCTTGATCGTGTTCAGCCTATGAGCCACCACAATTGTTGTTCTTCCCACCATGATCCTGTCCAGTGCTTCTTGCACCACTTGCTCCGATTGCACATCAAGAGCGCTCGTTGCCTCGTCGAGAAGTAGGATTGTGGGGTTGCGAATTATGGCCCTTGCAATTGCTATTCTCTGCTTTTGACCTCCAGATAGCTGCACCCCTCGCTCGCCACATTCGGTCTCGTAGCCTTCTTTCAACGACCTGCAGTGGTTGAGGGGAAAATGTTCATGGTTAAGTATGTTCAAATGATTATCATGGTGATAACCGAATCAACTAGGCTGGGAATCTATCATTCACAAAGACAAAATAACGTAACGAATGCAAAGAGTATTGGCAGCAGATTTTACTAACAGCATAGGACTAACTGCAAAGATACGGAGAAGCTTACGAGATGAATTCGTGAGCATTGGCAGCTCTTGCAGCCTCCACCACCTCATTCTCGGATGCATCAGGCTTACCAAACACTATGTTATCTCGAATACTGCCCGAGTAGATCACTGGTTCTTGGCTCACAAGGGCGGTGTGCCTCCTGTACCATTGGATGTCCAGGACTCTAATGTCAACTCCATCGACCTTTACTGACCCTTTCTCGACATCATAGAACCTTTGGATCAATCCAATCACAGTCGATTTCCCACATCCACTCTTCCCTACTAGACCAATGCTAGTGCTAGGCTTTACTTCCAGGCTGAATTGGTTAAGCACCAATATCTCTGGCCTTCCTGGATATGCAAAATCAACCCTCTTCATCTCTATTTTTCCCGTGATCTTTTCCAGCTTGGTTCCGTCGCTCTCATTGCGAATCAAGGATTGCCTATCCAGTATCTTGAACACTGAAGCGACAGCTGCTGAACCCTTGGCTAGATCAGAGGTCATGCTTCCAGCTTCGGCTATGACTTTTCCAGTACTTACAAGGATGAAGAACGTTTTGAACACAGCTCCTGCTGATATCTCTCCCTTCTCCACCAGCGTCCCTCCATACCAGAAGTCAAGAGCCCAGGACATGAAAGTTAGACACTGAGCTGAACCCATTCCGAATCCAGCCATCCATGATTTCTTCCTTGCCTCCCTCCTCGGCTCCTCCTGAGCTTGATCAAAAAGTTCGAGCACCTTCCCCACACTTCCAAATGAGGTAACAATTCTGTGATTATAAACTGCTTCCACAGCAATTTGGGTGCTTTGATTCTGAGCCTTGACGAACTTTGTCGAGATGGTGGAGAGAAGAACTTTGCGGGTGTAGAAACATAGAATTGTGAGTGGCTGGACCGCAATCATCACGAGTGCAAGCTTCCAAGCCACCACTAGTCCCATGATCATGGCAATGGTGACAGCTGAAGTGGTTTGTACTAGGAGAGAGACTCTATCTGCAACTAGGGATTTAACAATGGAGGCCTCGTTGCTTAGTCGAGAACATAATGCTCCACTTGAGTTCTGCTCTTCATCGAACCAAGCAGCCTCAAAAGTCAGGATCTTTTCTAACATCCTCAGCCGGATTCTCTTTGTAAGCCTCTCTCCCATATACGCAAAATTGTAGTGCTGCACAAGGTTCAGGATGATGGAAACTAGAGAAAGTGAACAAAATATCAAGGAGTACGTTCGAATTCTAGCATTCACTTCCTCATGGCTTGGTGCAAAGAAAGCCGAAATCATTCCACCAACTGTCAAGGCGTAGAAAGGCTGAACGCCTCCAAAGGCTACCGCCGAGAGGCTTCCCATCAGGGCTTGCTTCCATTCTGGCAAATTCAAACAGAGTAGCCGAGAGAATGAAGGTGGTGGGTGAGACAACACAGGTTTCGGACTGTCGATTGCTGGTAACGGCGAAGCAAAGAATGCTGGACTTGATTTCCCTGTGCTAAGCCGACCAGCGCTGCTTCTTGTGACTGAAGAAACACGAGTATCGGGGTTCTGTTCATCGCAGCTGAATTGCCTCTGCATTTTGGCGAGTTTTGCATAGTGGCCATTTGTTGTGTTGATGAGGTCATTATGTGAGCCTGTTTCGATTACAGAACCGTTGCTAACCACTGCAATGAGGTCTGCGTTCCTGATCGTAGAGAGCTTGTGAGCCACCACCTGATCATGATTATCCAACAACATTTGCATTTAATTCATCTCTAAAAGTGAAACCATACGCAGAAGGGAAAGGAACTGTGAAATGTCACCACTAACCAGTGTCGTTCTTCCCATGCAGGCTTGATCCAGAGCATCTTGAACCACCTTTTCGGACTCCGAATCAAGGGCGCTCGTCGCTTCATCGAGCAACAGAATCACCGGGTTCTTTATGATAGCTCTCGCAATTGCAATTCTCTGCTTCTGCCCACCTGAGAGAAGCGCCCCTCTCTCACCAACCTGTTCATTTTTAAAAGGTTTTTTCAGTCAGACAATACGTCGAACAGTTTGAAGGTATTCTCTCACACACTTTTGAAACCTTCCTTACCTTGGTTTCGTATCCCTCAGGAAGCTGCCTGATGAAACCGTGAGCATTCGCCGCCGTGGCCGCGGCCACCACCTCGTTCATCGAAGCGTCGAGCTTCCCGAACATGATGTTCTCCTTGATCGACGTCCCGAACAGGGCGTGCTCCTGGCTGACCAGACCCATCTGCCCTCTCATCCATTTCAAGTTCTGCGTCCTGATGTCGACGCCGTCTACCTTCACCGCCCCGCCGGTGACGTCGTAGAACCGCTGGAGCAGGGCGATCGCGGTGGATTTGCCGCTCCCGCTGGCACCGACGAGGGCGACGGTCCTTCCCGCATCGACGCGGATGTTGAAGTCGGTGAGTACTGCGGCGTCGGGGCGCGAAGGGTAAGTGAAGCTGACGCGGTCGAATTGAATTTCGCCGCGGATTTTGTCGAGGACGAGCCCTTTGGTGCCTTCGGAGTCGATCTCCGGAACTCGGTCGATCCGGCTGAAGATTCTCCCGGCGGCGACCGAAGCTTCGGTGAAGTACTTCAGATCGGGGAGCGCGATTCCCAGAGACCTGCGTAGTCAAATTGGGCCGGCCCACCAAAGATAAAAAGATTTGCATTTTTACTTTTTCTTTGGTAAAAGAACAATTTCCCCGACAGCAACGTACGGGAGCAATCCTGAGAGATTGCGGAGTGCACATTTGTTGGTCATTTTTAATAAGGAACACTCAACAAATTAATGATGAATCGTTTAAAATATAGAACAAATAATTAACAACAGTTTTGAAGATTCAACCTAAGTTAAAAAAAGAAAATGAGCTAAATTTATTTAAGCATTCAACATGGGATTAAGAGATGGGATGATTATGTTAACGGATCGAATGAATTATAGTTCAAAATTAAAAAAAAAGTAAATTTGATGACAATGAATTATAGCACATCAAATCCAGGTCCTTTCAGAGATAAATGTAGAGTAGCAAAGTATTTTTTTTATATATAGATATCGGAGTAGTGAAGCATTATCAGGTATTGCAATTCTATCAATTCGTATTTTAATGTCTTCGAATAGTGGAGTTGTGGACTGATACGATACATTTTTAGGCGTAATGAGGTGGTTTTGATTGATTATCGGGTACGTGAATGAATGAGACAAAACGGAAAATCTAGAGATGGTTTTGACGTCGTATTAATGTTCATAGCGATACCGATACGATACATTTTTTCGCCTTCAACATATTATCTATCTAAAAATCGAAATTTGTTAAGTTTCTAAATCGAGTATTTTAAGTTATCTGATATATACACTAGATGATTAATAAAAACAAAACACTTTTGAGAGACAGAGAGATCCTATTAAGAGTCGGGACTAGTTCTTAACATTTTTTATAAAAATAAATTAGGACTACTAGGCTTAGATCAATTAATTAAAACCCCATAATGACACGTTTACCGTATGATAATAAAGGTGCCAAAAAACACTCTACAATATTCCCTAAATTTGTGTAAAGTTAGTACACTAATGGAATACACAGTGGAGGAGATTCAAGTATGGTGGAATTTTGGTATTAAACTATTCATCAAGTTGAAGAAAAAAATGTGTGTCTTTTTTCTTCACTTTATCCTTTCTAATTTTTCATTTAGTTAACGATCAAACTTTACGGTCAACGATCACCTAAAAAAGTAAAATTGTTGGTAGCTACTTACAGTCCGCTCAAGATGAAGGAAATGCCGGCGGCGTAGATCCGGCCGCCGCTCTCTCCTTTATACATCACCAGCCGGCTGCCGTACCAAGCGATGAACGCCCATATCGCGAAAGACAAGCCCATGCTGCCGACGGCGAGCCCTTTCGCGATCCCCTGCCGGATCCCGAGCCTCATGGTCCGCTCGAGGATGGCGGAGTAGCCGTCGGCGATGCGCCTCTCGGCGGTGAAGGAGTAGACGGTCTTGATGGATCCCAGGGCCTGCGCGACGACGCCGTTCGCCGCGGCGTACTCGGCGGTGGATTTTCGCGAGAGGAAGATGAGGTACTTGCCGTAGATGAGACCGGGGATGATGAGGAGGAGGAGCGTCGGGAAGGCGACGACGGCCAGCCGCCACGAGAAGTAGGCGGCGAAGGCGAGGCCGGAGATGAACACCGAGCTGTGCATCAGGAATGTTGGTACCTGCAAAAAAAGGTATAGAATTTCATATGACTATTAGACCTTTTTTTTAATCCTCTTTGTGGTTGTGAACTTGTTGTTGTTGATATGATATCGAAAGATGCGTCGATGTGTTAGTTAGATCTTGATCGTGAAAGTCTTTGTATATTTAGGTTTGTAATTTTGTACACATTCATTGTGGTTTATGCTCAAAATATCAGAGATCTCTGTATTGGGATTGCGAGGATTTAAGCACGAGAATTTTTCAGCCATAAGAGGCTCTAATGTTGTCACAAATTGACTAGTTCATCATTTGAATCGATTTATAATGTCCCAACTTTCAAAGCTGGTGGAGTGTATGATTGTTCTTGGGTGTATTGAAAGAGTTATTAGCAAGAAAGAAAATCAATTTTAAACTTGTTCTTAGATGTTTGATCGAGTTATGGAGATGTATTAGTTAGTCTAGATCATGAATACCCGTTGTGGTTTATGCTAAAATAACAAGGGTTCATGTTGGGATTGTGAGGATTCAAATACTAGATTTTTCTGTTATAAGAAGCTCCGATGTTTTATTCGAGTATTTGGGATTAGGAGGTCCAAAACTGAATAGATATACAATGTGCCAACTTTCAAATCAAAATTTGATGGGGGTCAGGGGGTGTATGATTGTTCTTGAGTGTAGGGAAGAGTATCAAGAAAATTCAACTCTTAAACTTTTTCTTAGATGCCCGAGTAATGGAGATGAGTTAATTGTCATGAACAATTCTTATTTCGGATATTGTTTTTTTTTTTTTTTTGTATGACATTTAAACGTGTTTGAGTTGTTGAGACGAATTGGTTTTCTGCTACTAAAGATTAATCGGTCATGTTTTAGTTACTTGTCAACTGTCATAGGTACCTTTTCACTGAGGACTTCCTGAAAGAGGGAAGTGTCCTTGGAGATGCTGTTGATGACCTCAGAAGTGGTGGCTTCCTGTGAGTCAAAGAAGCCAACTTCCTGCCTCAGAATCGACTCCAGGTACTTGTACCTAATCTTCAGCACTTGCCTCTCACTTGTTTTGCTCCAACAATAACCCTCTGCACTTCCATGCACACATAAATACACTTCATAAGTATTGCACACAACACAAAAATTGCATTGTCTCCCTTTCCTTCAATTAGGTAATCAATCCATTTTACAAAGAAGAAAAAAAAAAACCACCCATCTAAATTCTAGGGCTTCTATCCATAAAAATGAGTTTCACTAGACAAGTAATAGGGCTAGGACCATCAGTCCGACTATTATGCTTCATACAGATCGACTATGATCGACCGGCCAGTCGAATCATGTTCTCAGCGCGCGTCCTTGTCCCCACATTCATGGACGTCGCCCAGAACATGATCCGACGAGGTCCAGTCTGGCTGTGAGCACCATACCCGGATTGTAGGGCTACAAATTTGAAAAAAAGGGGTTTGAGAAAGCTTACCCATGAATGCCACCACCATGACTGCCAGTCCCAAGTACACAAATGATAAGCTGCACTGTTCAATGTACAAAAAGAACCCAAAAAGGAAACCCAACAAAAGCTATTAGTAGAGAGAGAGAGAGAGAGAGAGAGAGAGAGAGAGAGAGAGAGAGAGAGAGAGTTGGGGAAGGATCATAATTTGACACAAAGATTGAACCTTTTCGACTTCAGCCATGAAGCTGCTTCGATCTGCTTGGTTCTGACCATATCCCAGGCTGTTCATAAGGCGGCTGGCGAACACAAGCAAGATGTTTGTAGACATCCCATCTCCAATTGCCCCAACCGTCCCCATCACCATCAACACCACATCTGCCCAATCAGCATACCTAAGTATCGTGCCAAAGCTCACCTTCTTCTTCCTCCTCTCCATCTCCATCTTCTCCAATGGAGATTCCATAGTTTTACTACTTCAAAGCTAAGAGAGGGAGAGGGAGGGAGATGAGAGAGGTCAAAAGGGTGGGTTGGCTTTTGTTTTTGCTTTGTGAGTTTGATATTCTTGAGGGGGAAAAGATTTGCATGGCCAACTGATGTTATTTATAAGTGATGATGATGAGGATGGTGTGAGGAAGGTGGAGTTTCTTTTGCTTTGATGATATATGGATCTTGGTGTCCTTTTTGTAATGTCTTGTTTCTTTGTTGATTAACTTTAAGTGGGTTGGTTAAAGATTGTGGCTTTAATTTCCCTTTCTGTTAATTATATTAATGTTGATGAGCAAAGTTAGTGTTGCTTTTGAGTGGGGGGTGGCTGTTGTTTAAAGGATGATTATTATTTGCTTAGGTGAGATCAGTGGGACAGAAAGTGCTTAGCATGCATATCTCTAATTGAATCCCATTGGGTGATTAACAGATTAATTAGTTGTTGGTGTATGTGATCTTCTGTTTGAACATTTGTTGCATGTTGTTGATGTAGGCTATAGGGTTGGTGTGTGAGTATAAGGAAAACCTAATTAATAATTCAAGGATTCTGAATCAATTACTGAAAGGAAAATTATGGGTGAGTTTGGTGGATTGTAGACCGCGGTTTGATAGTTTTGGTGGGTCGAGATAGCTTTCAGAGGATAAATAATTGTACATCGTGAATGTTCGGTAACAAACTAACTCAAAAATAAAGCTACTAAAGATAATATAAATCTGGTGGTTTCCAAAGCCGATTGAAAGTGGTCACTGCCGCGATTCAAATTCTTATCGGTCAGATAGAAAATTACTCATAATTATCAATTGAAACAACTTAGGCATATATGAATCAGGTTTTAATAAAAAAATGAATATGAGAGCGGATTCGAGGATTGACCTACTTGTTATCCATCCTTACCTCCCATTATGTAAAAAAGATGCATATATGTACAATCTATTTATATTTTATTATTATATGGTTGTATTTCTTGATTCGACAAACACTAGTTTGGTTTTTCTACTTCATGACTGTGTTCATGAGCTTCCCCACTTTCTTCCTTTGCTTTCCTTTCTAACATCAAATTGTCAAAGTTCAATACTTAGTTTACCCTTAAAATCATATATTTATGCTTGTGGATGTGATGCGACATTGGCTACTTTCCACAAAATTATATATGTCCCAATTGCTGTCGGTCTTTTTTAAAAGTCCAATGCTTTGAAGATTTTTTCTTCTTTCTTTTGTGGAGCTTTGATTGTCCATGAAGTACAAAGTGAAGAAAATTAGCTCTGCGGTCGGGTTCTAAATATTGTGATGAGATATAACCTTAGTTTTTAAGGCAACATCGAGGATACTTCGCAATTTTCTTATCATACAACATTTTTTCACATCATTTTATTTTTATGAATTTTTTTTTTTTTTATTTTTATGAAATTCTCTGTTTACATATTCCCTATCATGTGGTTAAAATTTCTAGGTTTTGTTAATGAAATAAAAAAACAAAGTGTTGATGGGATGGAGAATATAATCAAACTTGACTAATTGAAAGACCAATCTAAATGATAAAAGTTCTAGGATGCCAATAGTTTTCTGCTGGATTTGATTTGAGATTTTACACAAATATTTAATTACAGGATTCTCCAAATACCCACAGGTTTTAAAATCCACTAGGTATAGCTGTATTTCTTGGACTACTATTCATTCGATTCAAAAAAGAATTAATCATACAAACAAACATGCATATATTTGAGGATCCCAGGTAGGTAATGATATTCTTGCTTTCCCTCTCCACCCTCTGCTGCTTCTTCCTCCTTTCTCTATTTGGACCAACTCGATCTCCAGCCATCCCAATACTGCCTTTTCTGCATCATCTTGAGATATACCCACCAACTCAATAATTGTAAAGCACAAAGCATTGATTCCACAATCCAACCGTCCATATTAGGGGGTGGGGTTCCGGTCCGGACCGGTTAAACTGGACCATAATAACCCAGTTTCCGATCGCACTTTCTGTCAAAATAGCAACCGAAAACCGGATTGTTCGTTAAATCAAGAATTTCCAGCCCTCTATTTGTTTTATAGTAACCTATTACAAGGTGCTACTAGAGGAGGGCGAAGGGGAAGTGACGTCACTAGGAATCGAAACACACGACCATGCAATGGCAAGTGTGCCTACTGCTGATCATTAGTTAGGTTGTACCTCGTTCGCTCCAACCCTCTATTTATATACATGGTAACGTATACTTTTTTTTTATATATAAGGGAGATATATGTTTTACATTTTGTGTTTAGGTAATATTGAATGGATTCGAACCTGAGGCCTCCAAGTTCAAAGTTATTGGTAACATATACTTTTGGAATATGTCATATTATTAGTGATATGACTATTGGATGTACTTCATTGTAATTCGACAAATAATGAATAATTGATTATTTTTTTATTAAATTAATTTTATTTTGAGAATTGTGACAAGTGTTTTATGCATTAAGTGTTATATCATACCTCAAACGTGATTTAATTCATGGTTTATATGAAGATATTTCACTAGAAATACCATGAGTATCGTATATTTTAAAAAGTAGAGCAAGTATCACCCCTATATATGTGTACACCAAACAACCTAAGTACAGATTGAAAGAGAAGCAACTCAATTACCTAAAACAGAATCTATAGAGAGCACAGATGTATGATTATCCTAAAAGCATGCAACTTTGTGGTTGGATGATCTTATTTGGTGCTTTGCCCGATTTCTGTGGTTCTTGTACGTTTGTAACCTAACTTGAATAAGTCCATTGGGCAAAGATGCATCATATATATATATATATGATCTCATTGAGAAATATATGGGATATGTCAATTGTACTTTAGATTACAAGATGATATGAGCAATATAATTATTCCTAGCTACCAGAGGGTAGAATATAGTGATTAGGAGTGAGCATTAGGTGGTTGAACCACATATCAATCTATATTCAATAACAATAGACTCATGGACCTATTATGTTGTGGGTGAGTCTGGATTCTAGATGTTATAAACGCGCTGCTACAGATCGAGAAATCGCCGGAATCGAGAAAATAAGAATATGAAAGTGAGAATCGAAAAACACGACACACGATTTACGTGGTTCACTACGATGTGTGTTAGCTAGTCCACGGACGAGAGAGAGAGAGAGAGCCAGTTTCACTATATCGAGGAGATTGCAGATTACATCGAGACCTCCGACTATTCCAGTCGTAGCGGCCAATGTAGTCAAAAGCGCGATTCTACCTAAAAGCGGAAAAGGGGTAAAATCGAAAAACGGTGAATCAAAGCGTAAAAGCGTAAGTTTTTATGCATATTGTATAATAGTTAAAAATCTGTTAAGTACGGCATAAACTATGTAAAATATGAGTCCACATAATTTAGCTAAAAGAATAAATACATGCAATTCTTGTCTAAATTAAAATAAACTATTATCGAGCCATGACCACATGGCTCTTCCGCTGTACTCTTCGATCCATCGATCTCCCACCACTACAACAACCACCGCCGTTTCCGCCTCCGCCTCTATATTAATTACATCGTACAATCCAACTCTTTGTCCTAGGAACTAATAAAAACAATTGCTTTGCCCTTCATTGACTAGACGACGAATATTCATAGTTATTGATGTATAATGAAACACAACTGGTCAAATTGGTGGAGACTGAAGTGGCGATGGGCTAGGACAAGGAAGAGACAGAAACTAACCGGTTGTATCACCGGCGAGTGGCGAAAGGCGATGACGAGTCCGACGGGTGACAGGCGACGGGCGCTGCCACGTTGGAGCCTTGTAACAGCTGCAAATTCTTCGGTGGAAGGGGGCGGACTGGCGGCAACGGTTGTGAAGCCTTGTAGCAGCTACGGATTCTTCGTTGGAGTGCTGGAGACAGGAGACAACGATTAGGGATTTTGGAAGAGTTTGGCAGCCTCAGCCCGATATCTATCCTATTCCTTTTTTTTATCCGAAGTGCTCAAAACGACGTTGTTTTGGTTTGGTGGAGGCAGTTTTCTCCTTTGCTTGAAATAAGATAAAATCGGTCTGAAAACGCGATTTTATACGATTTCACCGATTTTAACGATTCTACTAACGCTTTTGACCGATTTTGAGTGAAAGCGATTTTATTAGTGATTTGAAACGTTTTCCTACCCTAGAAACGTAAAATCGTACGATTTTACGCTTTAAAGCGCGATTTTGACTGCACTGGTAGCGGCGATTTCCCAATCCGTAGCAGCGCGTTTATAACACTAGAATATATAGGTGACTCCACCACCTTTTCACCCCCTCCTCCAAACTAGCGAAACTCTAACGTAGCTTATAGTTTTGCCTAAAATGAAAACCTCAAACACACAACCCCCCCCCCCCCCCCCCAATTTCGATCAAAAGATTTGTAAAAAAATCTCTAGTTGTCCTTCCCAATTTTGAATGAATAGTTTATCATGATTATGGTTATTGAGGATATTCACAAAGTCAAATTTGATTGCATGACTTGAAAATCTATATCATATGTTCACTGTCTTTTATGATTCTTCCTTAACTTTTTATTTATTTATTTATATACTAATTTTGCTTATTCTATTGCTTGGTTTTAAGAGTGTTCAGTGACTGATTGTGGTTTGAAGTCTTAGACAATCATATGGGTTCATGTGAGTGATTATAGTTTGAAAGCTTGGAGAATTAGCTAAATTATGATGAAGCTTTATCTTCATTATTTATTTTAAAGATGCATATGTTTTATGGACTAAAATTTATTTAGTTTGGAGATTTTTTTCATTTTGAGTTTAAAATCATTTGAATCATGTTACATTTTGTAATGTACGCTATAAACTCACCGAACCCGTTCAACCGCCCACCATCCACAATCACCTTACCCACCCACCCACCCACCCACATGTATATGACGGGTGGGTGTGAGTCATTTTCTCCTTCATCAGTCATGTGATGAGTGAGTCCAAACTCTTCCAAATCCACATAAGACCACTCACTACTCACCCCTATTAATGATAATCCGTAGGTAAAAAACAATCAATTGAAGTTTAGTTCTAACTATGGATCTAATATCATATATAGAAAAATAAATTTTAAAAAATGT